TTTCTCAAAATCACATAAAGTCATATTATAACATCGACTGAGATAAAGAATAAAATGAAATATTAAAATCACGATGTATCTCGCTGCATTGCGCGAGTACGCTTCTAGTTTAAATTAATGTATTAGGGGATTAATATCTATTATGTAATTAAAATTAATTACATATTTTATTTCAAACATAGTAACTAAACATTTTAATAATTTGTAATAAAAAATTACTAAATTACCCTTTTTAACTTATTTAAAAAACAATTTCATTATCTTAAATGATTAGCTCACATTGGATCTCATGATTATTATAAACTATCGAGTTCTCATTTGATTTGATCATGAACACATAAGTATGCTTGCTTTGAAAAATATGTATGTTCAAATAGCTAAATATTTAACCTTTGAAATAAACCACAAAGGTGGTGCCTAATTGGTTTGAGCTTGGCTCCAAAGGTCAAAAAAGTACTTGGAGGTCCCAGATTCAAATCCAAGGAGGAATAAAAATCCCCTTGTGGCCACAGAGGTTCAAATACGGTGACTCCGGACTATCTGCAAAGCAGGTGGCTCCATGGGATTAGTCAGCTCGCATAAAACAACAATATTTAGCAAGATTTGAACTCACGTTAAAACATAAAACAAGCAAGAAATAAAACAAGTGTACCTTTAAACTCTTTTTTTTTTCCATTGCATCGAGACTATAAAGGGGGAGCACGTACACCCTGTAACACCCTAAAGCCCAAAACAACAGACTGACCTAATAACTTCGAATCCAATTTAAAACCATCGTGAAAATTATTGGTAACTCACTACTTGAGACTTATAAGGAGCTAACAATTCTCACCTTTTATCCATGTGGAACGAGTTGTTACACACCCCTCCTATCCGTGTAGATCTTCCCTCGGATGAGATAATATAAATTTCAATTTTCTATATTGTTTAAATTAAAAATCTATTTGAGAGGCTCTTATAATCATAATTGTATAAATATTAAATTTATTTCTTGTTATAAAATACTACTAAATGAAAACAACAATTGCCTACGAATTTTTCCCTAGAAAATCTGTTGTTAAAGGACGATTCATCACAAAACCGTCACAAAAGTTGATAGATAATTCAAATCAGTAACAAATTACACAGAGAATCTTTGGATAATTTATTAGTATTTTCTCAAAAGGCATCGAATTAAAAATTTTATTTATTATATTCAAAATATATTATTTACAAATATAATAGCAAGAGAAATAGGAATAGTGGAAAATGGTGTTGACTTTTTATCCACTCATAGTGAGGAATAAGCATTAATTAATTATATAAACTTATTTAATACATAATATAACGAAATATATCTCGATTTTAATGTTTTATTTTTTTCTTTGTTTCAGTCGATGTTAATATCAAACTAACTATTCTTTAATTTTTTTTTGGTTTAATAGTATAATTTTTTTATAAAGATAATAATTAAGTATTTTTTTGAAGTTAATGACTATCTTAATTATATTTTAGATTTTTTATATTTAAAATGAGATGTTTATCTTTTATTTAATTATGTTTCTCTATAGTTAGTTATATGAAACTTTAATAAGTTGTATTTACGTACCATTTACTTGTAATCTTGAATTTTAAGTAATATACATCAATAAACAGTACTTCATGTATAAAAAATGGGTTTTAAGAGTTTTTTAAATAAATATATAGTATTTAAAATAGTAATTATATTTGTTATTTTCCTTTGTGCATATAGATATTTATTTTTATTATTATATTATATTTAAAGTATTAAAATTATTGTATTTAAAAATGTATTCAAACAAAAAATAGGAAAAAAAAAACAATTTTCATAAAAATGAAAACACTAGAAACTCCTACACCTTGATTGTTTTATGATTTTGGATAAGAGATTATTTCTGTAAAAAAGTAGAAACTCCTACACCAAATAAAGGAACGGTGGGGTCTAAACTTGTCGACGTACCGCGGACGTCCGTATGGATCTGGTGCCACCTTTGACACATGGCAACGATCGTCTGCACCACCGTCAATGAAGAAGAAGACTTGGTTAAGAGTGGGTGCATCTTTAGACGCACACAGCGTGGCACCATAACCATAACCAAAAATCATGATGGCTACGTATGGACCATGGTCGCATATGGTTCCACACTTGTGTGCGCCTAAAAACCATCCTCTTAAACCTTCTCTGCATGCTTTTCACTTTTATCCATGGATGAAGATACATATATATATATATATATATATATATATATAACACACGCACACACACACATATATATATATATATACACATATATATTCAGAGAACATGAAAAGCAGTAACCATCAAACCACGAATATTGAAGCATAAGCTTTGAAAATGGTATGATAGAAAGATGACCTAGTTATCTCGAAATACTGCATGGAAACAACTGTATATATAGTTCCTTTTATATATATATATATATATATATATATACATGTGCATGTATACACACACAGTGTGTATATATATACATGTGTGTGGGTGGGTGTGTGATAAAGGAAGTGAAGATGTGAGAGAGAGATATATATAGATAAGAAAAGGTGGTTAGCTAGGGTTTGAGTTTTGTAATGGCGGTAGATCCTAGCTTGAGGGTGAAGCACCTAGAGTTTGGATTTGCCACATGGTCATATCTGGATCATACATGCGTTGCTGACTGATCATATAAGTGTTGGAAAGTATATATTGCTAAGTGGAAAAACATATTTAATAACAACAAAATACATATATTTAAAAGATAAAAACAACTTCTAATGCTTTATCTCTTTCTCATATACATATATATATATATATATACACACACATATATATATATCTTAATAAATAAATAACTTTTGGGACACGTGTCATGTTTCTATGTGGCAGTTATTGATTTTTCCCACCTAAACATGTATCTAGACTCAATTTTCACTTACGGTTCAAATAGGTCTATTTAAGTGACATGTATCCCTTCGGAGGGTTAATTTCACATATTCGTGGTATAACCGCCTGTCCGCCTTCGCAGAGTAATTGGCGGTTCAGAGTTACAAAATCTGGAGTCCTCCTTTCTAGATATAAGGACCCGTCCAACGATTTCGCCTCCAGATTTAGAAGTAGAAGACTCAATGGTCTTTGCATGTACTATGCAGAGGCTCTATGTCTGGAGTGAAGCTCTGCATCAAACACTTAACCTTTTTGGCATTTAAGCCTTGATCTTCCTTGGAATACAGCACAGACTCTGTATATGAGACACTTAACTCTTGAGTAAGAGCTCTGTCTCTTGATGTCTTCTGCATGAGAACTGTGGGAAAATTCAGACCCTTGGACCCCGCCACCGGGGACTTTCCCCCGGACCCCCGTCGTTTAGGGGCGAAACCCCTAAATCAAAATAAACTCAAACAAGTGTGCACTCCGCACCTTCCTTACCTGTTCGATATTTATCATGATTATATTGATCAACAATTTAATCCCATTACACTTAAATGACATTAGTGATACAAATCATCAACATGAAGTCATCAGATATTGGTTATTTCTCAGACTTACAACATAACTCTGAATTGTTCTATTCTAAACTTAGTTATATAGTTTATTCACAGACTTAAAATACAACTCTGAACTCTTTTTCAGAGTTACGTTTCTGAGTTATAAGAAGTCAAAATTCTTGTGACTCAAAGTTATGATCGTAAATACTTTCTAGACTTAGAAGACAACTCTGAATTCCTCTTATTCAGAGTTAAGTCCAGAGTTATTTTTTAGCTTAACAATAGAATTCTGAATTCTTGTGTTCCAGAGTTAATGTTCAGAGTTTTTTCACATTAATTACACGGGGTCGAACCTAGTGTATATATATATATACACACACACATATATATATATATATATATATATATATATATATGTGTGTGAGTTATTATACAACTCTTTACATTTGTACAACCAATACAACCCAATCTCAACCGTCTATTTAATTTGATGAATATGTGATTTCATAGAAGTTTTGATTGTTTCATAATATAAAGTATTGATCATAATTAATGAACCCTATTCATCTTCCATAAACATTCAAATCATAATAAATGAACTCATATCATTTTTATAAATATCTCAATTAATTGAGTTGCATTGGTTGTACAAATGGACAATGTTGCATTTGAAATATACCATATATAGAGGTGAGTTATTATACAACATTTTACATTTGTACAACCAATACAACCCAATCTCAACCGTCTATTTAATTTGATGAATATGTGATTTTATAGAAGTTTTAATTGTTTCATAATATAAAGTATTGATCATAATTAATGAACCCTATTCATCTTCCATAAATATTCAAATCATATATATATATGATTTGAAATATATATATATATATATATAGAGAGAGAGAGAGAGAGAGAGAGAGAGAGAGAGAAAGAGACTTGGGATCATGTGAGACCAAGGGTTTTTCGTAAGATCCGTAAGACCAATTCTCAACCCTTGGATTAGACCTACAACCTGAACATTCATAATCTCAAAATTGCCACGAGACTTCTCAATAATCACAAAATTGTCACTGTGCAACTTTAGACCATTAGATCATTAGCTTATAAAGATCATTAGCTTATAAAGTTGATCAATAAACATAAATTGGTCTTAGGGGTCTCACGAAAAACCCAACCCTATATATATATATATATATATATATATATATACTTGAAATCATGTGAGACAAGCCTGTTTTCGTGAGACACGATTTTTATACTTGAAACTTCACAGCAAAATACTGTGAAAGTTCGGCTTTTTTTACCTTCTCAACATTTTGTTGTGAAGTTTCAAGTGTAAAAATCGCGTCTCACAAAAACAACATTGTCTCATGTGAACCCAACCATATATATATATATATATATATATGTATGTATATGTGGCGTATTGTATTTTTGAAAACTGTGAGATTCGTTCACGATCACACATGTTGAATCCATATATGGTAATTCACACCGTGATTAAAAAAATGTGTTTTCTATTTCAAAAATTCAATCCAAACATGGTAATTCATGCCGTCAATACTCATTGATCCAAAGCATGAATGTTTTATGTCTCAAACATTTAACCCGATATGATAATTCATATTGTGAATACTCATTAAAATAATGAATATGGTTGGATTTCAAAGTTCTTACAAATAACTGGGTTCTCATATAATTAACACCCTGTTATATTTATATATATATATATATATATACATATTTGAATCCATATTTGTACATTCTTTTGTGTTGATTTTATATATGTTATGAGCTACTTAAGTCTTGTACTTATATGTTGTTGAATGAAATTATAAAAGCGAAACATGATGAAAAATTGGTCGTTTCATAACTCACCTATCTCTTTGTTGAGTTGTTTCAAAAATTAAAGTCAGGAGAAAATTGTTGAGGTCTATAAGAAAAAGCAGCTCGTGTTTCGAAAATTGCAATCGAAGAACATTGCATGTTAAGGCATGTAACAGCAACGATCTAGGGTTAATGCCAATYAATAAATTGGAACAACTTCGTAAGTATATCTTCGATATAGAAATTGAAAGGATCTGATTAGAGCAAATTTTCAGTTAAAAAAAATTAGCGGGTGCAGGTTTCTTTATTTGGCGCTAACATTGAACTTTAGGAAAATGAAATGATTGTCTCGAGATTCAAGCGATTGCAGATAATGTAACTAGTGGGAGGGGGATTTTACCCCGTAAGATGCATAACAAGGATAAGGGATTTTACCTGGTAAGTGATGGAGAAGATTCTTAACAGGCAAGCACTTACCGAGTAAAAGACGCTTACCGACAATCCATTTTGATAATAAAAAATGTTACCTGATAAACTAAGGGTAGTGACTCTTGCCGATAAGCACTTGCCGGTAAACATTTGGTACAAGGAAATCAAGAAATGGGTCTCTGACATGTAACTCAGTTGGCAAATGAGTGAATGACTTTGTCCAAATACAAGATAGGTTTTGGGTTCGATCTTGATCCCCGCTAGCCACAGTCGGCTGAGTGAGCCAAAAAAACTTCCCTCACATTCATGTCCTTGGAAGCGGGTTCCATATGTGACCTCATTTTCGGTTCCGTTTTCGTTTCCATTTTCGGACTATTTGGGTTTTACACACCATTTTAATTAGGGGTGCTCATGGGTTGGGTTGATCCGACTGAAGACATTTGAACAACCCAACCCAATACTTGCGGTTTGAAAAATCTTAATCCAACCCAACCCGAACCAAAGTGCAACCCAACCCGTTCGGGGTTGGTCGGGTTGATACTTTGGTACATTAAAATATTCTTATAACCTAGAATATTTTATTTCTCTACCTATAATTTTTTTTCATCATAATTTGATACAACTTATTCATACTTATTACGTATATCACATTCAATTAATTTTCTCAATTTACATGTATATGTTCACAGTTATTGAACATATATATGAATGAGTTATATAAAGATGTGAATAGATTGAAAATAATGTACATATTAATAGAAATTCAACAATCATATTAAATCCAAGAAATAAAATGATATCGCGTTCATTGGGTTGGGTTCAAATAATTGTAAGCCGATATCAACCCAATAACTACGGTTTCATAATTTTACAACTCGATCAGACATCAGATTACTTCAGATTGAATTATTTCGTGTTGGATTGGGTTGATCGAGTTGATCGGGTTTTTGAGCACCCTAATTTGAATGACATAGTTAGTCTACAGAGCAAATTATAAAAGAGTGGGCCAACTTCAATATAGATGGGCCTCATTGGCCCGATTACATATATTATTTCCCCGCCATATTCGTTGATTCTGTTCCTCACTTCCTCTACAGTGGATGCTGATCGACGTCCGGAGAGAATCTGCCGGTGGTGGCTAGAAGATGCAACATCGACGAAACAGCTTCGGATTTTTCTCGGTGCTGATCGGTAATTCGTTTTTAGTTTCATCTCAGTTTCAATTATGTTTATATTTTCAGAAATTAGATAACAAGGTACAGCAAAGAAAAATGGCGATTAGAGGCAGTTTCCACTGTGTTTTTTTCTTCTTGTTATCGTTTGTATTCTACAATAATGGAAGCTTAGCTAATGGTTGATAATGATATTAGACTAATAGTTGTCCTAATTGTTTTCTTAGAAGAGGTACACTCGTAATATGATGAATTGTCATAAGCTTGTTGAAACCCTACTTCAATCTAAATATTTTCTTTGGAAACTCTTTAGTTTTTGTTAGTAAAAAGGGAAAATGAAGGGGCATAGTCATTCATTGTCCCAAAAATGGAAACCAAACCAAAACGACTTCCAAACGGATTGAGCAAGGAGAATCAGAAGGACATATGATTACAATTGCAGCATGACTAAATCTAAATGCTAATAAAACTACAAGTGGCAGAAACATCTAAGTTTTTCACTCATCAAGAAGCTTACCTTGACTCAATTCTTTGTTCAAGCTATGTGGAGATAGTAGGACTTGCTCCACAGCATTGTCACCTTCCTTAGATATCTAGAACTATATAGATGTTCAGTAAGTGTTGGTACATTATACTCCAACTAATTAAATGTATAGTGTATATGATTAGAGGGTGACTTTTCTCATTGCCATTTAGTCTTGAGATGGAATCCAAAAGATGTATTTACAATTACATGATATATGAGTCTACCGCAAACACCCTGATGCCATAAGCCTTTATGCTTCAATGGCTCAAAAGCAGCATGCGTCAATAGCTTAAAAGATAAACAATAAGTGAGGGGCAAACTAACAAAAATGCTCATTCCATACAAGGCAAATTACAATTTAATGGATCAAAATCAGTGTTCAAAAAAGCTCGCCGCAATAACCGTCGTGGTGCGCCATGGCTTAGGGCTTATGTCTCACGCTATGTTAAGCATATGGCATGCCGTGACCTAATGCATGGTTTTTGTAATGTAATATTTGATTTTTCTTACTTTTTTAAAGTCCTATTTGTTAGTTCGGGAATGTATAACCTAATTTAAATTATTTAATATCATTCGACTCGGTGAGTAATAGTAGAAAATATATGTTTATATGTATAATAATTCATATGATATAAAGATTTGCCACCATAAGTCATGCCTTGAGAAATGCTGCGGCCTTGCCATGGCTTCTATGGCTTGAGGCTTGATCTCGTCGCCACGCCATGCCTCACGCCATTTAGAACCTTGATCAAAATATATGATATTGGTGACTGCTATCTTCTGCGATTGGTTAGATAAGAAAGCTCAAAAGGTGTCTTTCTGGTATTTCTTGGGCAATTGATTAAACATCATTTCATCTCAGAGTGTGTAATATGTACATGCAAAACGTAACATAGTTAAAAAATTATGCCAAATATTTTACATGGTTTTGTGATGCCTACCTGGAACTCCATAAGTCATCTTATCGATGTCAAAAACCCAATCACATTGACCTTCAACTCATAGTTTCCCATAGTGTGCTGCTCTTCTCGAATTTTATCAGCAGATTTGACGAGAGAGTGGTTCCGTTTATCAATGTCAATTATCTCAAGTGTAGGAATGTCTCCTACTTCATCTGGAATACCCTTAAGATAGTAGCATTCTAGCAACACCAATCGTTTAAGGCAGGGGAAGTTGCTGCTATAGGCATCCCATTGCTGGATATCAAGGTTCTGTAGTTTCAAAAACTTAAGTTGATGAAACTGCCCCTCTCCCGTGTCCCATGAGGGTCCTTCAAAGGCATAGTTTAGCAACTTGAGAACTTCAAGGTTAGGCAACCATTGAATTTTCGACATACCAGACCAAGGAAGACGGCATCCCGATAAAGTAAGTTTTTTCAAAGTCACCGGGAAACTAATTAACTTCTTTGACAACAATGATTCCACCTCCTGAACCTCAGGCTGGATCACCTTTAAAGTTTCAAGGTGATCTAGTAAGACAAAATTCGGGAATGCATAATCTTTTTGATCCCCATAGACTGCACACCCAAGCTTCCTGACATTGGGAATCCTTTTTAACAAACTTTCAGCTCTACCGTGTAATTGTAGCATAGAAATAGTTTGCAAGTTGAAAAACACATGGGAGTTGGTTGGGTTATGAACATCAGGTATAGAAATGATCATTTCAATCCACAAATGTCTCAAGTTTATCATCTTGGAGATGTTTTCTGGTAACTTCATGAAACCTGAATAATTTTCTTTAAGAATGAGGGTTTGAAGGTTCCATAGATTACATACTGAGGAGGGTAACTTTGTGACTTCAGACCAAAGTGCTAAGTGCCTAAGATGAACTAGCAGTTCTAAAGCAAGGGGAACTGTAGATGTGTGAATAGTTTGTAAATCTAGTACCCTGAGAAGTAGAAAAGGATGGAAACACCTCTGAACTCCTAGACTGAAGTACCATTCTTTGTTAAAGCACAAAAATGAGCGGATATGTGGGGCTGAATGGTCTGTAGAGATCTCGGTGAAAAAGTTAGAGTCTGCAAATAGACGCCGTTGCTTATCTGTAAATCGAATAAACTTAGATGAGGAAAGGTAACTTGACCTGGATATTTGCTGCAAGAAATTCTCTTCTTTAGCCTTTTTCAAACATAGCTCCCTCAATAGATCGTGGATACGACAAGCCTTGACCCCACCATTGGACCTTCTTTTTGCGACTATAAGTAGACTTCTGTCCACTAGATCCATCAAGTAATCTTCAGCCACTTCTTCCAAGAGTCTTTCACCCTCTTCACGTATAAATCCCTCAGCCACCCATAACCAGATCAACCTTCGCACGGGTATTTTACAGTCTTCTGGGAAGCCTCCGACATAGAGAAAACAGTCTCTCAAGTGACGAGGTAAGTGGTTGTAACTCAAAGCCAATGTGTCCAAGTATCCTTTCGGGTTGCCAACGATATATGAATTTACACTTTCAGCAACTTTTTCCCATAATTCTTGGCTCTTCTCACCCTTTACTAGAACTCCTGCTATCACAACCACCGCTAGCGGTAGGCCCTGACATTTTTTAGCAATTTGCTTTCCAGGCTTGATTAGTCTTTCAGGACAGCCATCTTCCTGAAATACTTTCCTCCGCAATAGCTCCCAACTCTCCTCGTTGGTCAGAAATCGTAGAAAGTGAGCGAAACCGCTGGGTTTTGCGTAGAAAGCAATCTCGGAGAGGCGGGTGGTTAGCAAAATTCTACTCCCGGTGTTATCATTTGGAAAGTACATTTTCAAATCATCCCATGCTTTAGCACTCCATACGTCATCAATGACTATGAAATACCTCTTGCCCTTCAGGCTCTTGTACAACAATTCAGAGATTTTATCAATTTTCAACTTGTTAATTTCTTCTGGGGTTAGTTTACCAATGGATGTCAAAAGCGAAATTAACAAATCCTTCTTACCATATGATTGAGACACTAAAACCCACGCACGGACATGGAAATGATAAACAATAAACCGATCATTGAATACTTTTGTTGCTAAAGTAGTCTTACCTAATCCACCCATACCCACAACGGAGATGACATCTAAATTCTTATGATTTCCAGTAAGTCTCTCCACTAAAACCATTGAAGCATCATCAAGACCCACGAGGATTTCTTCCTTTAGTACCGCACTAGATAGATTTCTGCTTATCATAGCTCCAGCAGCTGGCTGCACGCCTTCAGGTCGGGGCTGCATCTTCTTATCCATAATTTCTTCCTTAACGTCTCTGATCTCTTCCATAACACGATCAAAGTTTAGGGAGTGAATCATGCTGTCAAAATCACACATCGTCATGCTTGTGTTGTTTCTGATGAAAGTACTAGTTAGAAAGAGATCAACAATGTCTTCAACTTCCTCCACCATATTTCTAAGCCTTCTCTCCAGATTTCCCACTTTCTTGAGCTCTTTTGGTTTCTTTGCAACCTCCATATCAATAACGAAGGTTCTCAGGGACGCAAGTTCCTGATATAGAAACAGGATCTGAGGCCTTTTGTCCTGAACAAAGAGGTTATTTTTGATCAATGGATTGTTGTCACAATATATTATGTGCTTCAAGTTCTCCATCAACAATTCTAGACCAGTGTTTGCCATCTTATTTCCTTATTTCTGTATCTCTCTTAACACAAATTCTTAAGTTCTCAATAACTCAAAACTAATGATTATAAACAAGACACTTTTCCCTGTATAATCTTATTGATGGGAACTAGTTAGAATTGAATTATTATATTTAATATATTATTGAAAATCTACATATTCTCAAATTAGTCGATGTGGGTTTGAGTCAGAAATAGACTAAAACAAGTATTTTAAAATGCTACCTATTTTCTTGTACACATTGGATGATGCTTACACAATGTTATATTTAATCCACGTAGAGCCCTGACAATGAGATGAAGACAAGAACAATCAGATGATGGATCTTTCTTGGTAAATCTCCTATTCTGAAGTTTAGTTTGCATGCATACTTTTCTTTCATAGGAAGTTAAACTTGATTATTTTAACACTAATCAAAGTGTATTGGGATAATAAAGTTATAAAATATTTTAATAGTATAATTAATGTTGAAATCTTGAAATAGAGAATTTGTTGGAGTTGAAAATAATTTCTTTTAGAGATTTTAACATTTGGTTGTCTATTTTAGAAAAATTATAGAGAATCTGTTGGAGATGCTCTTAATAGCCAAAAGCAAAGATCCAGATTTGAGAGTTTAATGTTTCATGTTCCAATGATATTTGTAAATTAAAAAATCAGTATCAATTTGGTATCGACCAAATTATAAGTAGTAAGAAAAATTATTATTTATGAATACGTATAGCGAACGATTCTCATATGCTCTATTTTTCAATGAAAATTGCAACAATATTCTTTTTGTGGTTCCCGTTAAATTGCGGATTTTTCATTGTTTCACATTAATGTTGCGGTAGATTACGGTCCCAATCATTCCTTAATGTTATCACTATTGGATGACATTTAAGACATTTGACAAATAGTCAAATACTCATCGTCAAACTTTGCACTTTTAAGGGATGGAGGGAGACTATAACGCTCCATATATCGCATAATTAAACTTTTCAGGGCTATTGGTTATGTCTATATGATTTCTTTATTTTGTGGTTATGGTGGAACATGTGAGACATTTGACTACTGCCAAAAAATTGCAATTTCAAAAGGTAGAGGAGTATAAGATAATTCAAAAGTTGCAATCTGGTAGGGGATGTTATAATAGGGACCTATCTTAGCAAACACAAGGAACAAACTATTGGATCTACAATGATTTTGTCAAATAATTTTATTGCTTTCATTCTTATAGTTAAATGGTGCCACCGCTTGAAACAAATTTTGGGTCAAAAAGTAAGGGCCATTTGGTTGGTTTCCATTAAGTTCTGTATGGATAAAATTGTCTTGATGGATTAATTTGTCTATATAGATTGGGAAGGTTTTTATTTGGGAGGTTTTTACATGGAAGGAGCATGTTTTTTTAATCGGGAGGGACATGTTCAGAAAAAAAAAACTTGGCTTTCTGCATAAAGCTCCTCCTTAAAAGCTTACTGAATAAGCCACTTTCTATATCATTAAGTCACTACCAAACAGTCATGTATAACTGACCGAATAAATTACAAGCCACTTTCTATATCATTAAGTCACTACCAAACAGTCATGTATAACTGCAAATAAATTACAAGTCCCATTCAGTTCATTAAACTGCTAACAAACAACCCCTAAATGTATCATAGCACTGCATTGCATAGACGACCCCTTCTTCTAGGGCTTTAGAACCTAGTTGTCCATCTAAGGGATCAAATACTTAGCTGGTAATTCTCATACCCGCCCTCTCCCTCTCCCTCTCCCTCTCCCTCTCCCTCTCCCCTGTCTCCATTAGCCACAAGTCCTTATCCGAGGTCATTTATTCTAGAATGCCTATAGCAATGATGTAAATTTATCATCTTTTTGGTAAATTTTGTAATTTCGTTCTTTAATTATTTTTTATTTTGATCTGGCATATAAATCATCGTGCTCTTGTTTAGAGCTAGCCTTTTAGATCATTAAGAATGCATAGGCTTTGTTTGTCGATTTCAATAATTTCAAGTGTTGATATCCCCTGATGCAAGTGAACTCCTGTTCAAATGTCCCTTAACTCAAGTGACATCTTGTTCAGATGTATGTATTTGCCAACATGGTTGTCCAATGCGAGTGAGGTTTGTACATGGCAGAGCATTTTGGATGTACATGTAAAACATGTACTGTGAGTTAAAGTTGTTATATAAAGTCGAGTCAATACCACCATGGCTAGGCCATATTTTAGTGTGTCAGTTACATGTATGTACTAAAAGTCACTGGTTTAGATGAAGATGAAACGGGGAGATGGTCTATGGAAAAAGAATTACCATTGTAAATGAGCAAAGGAACATTGTGAGCAATATATAATTTTTATTACGCACATAAAAGGATTAAAACATTAATGGGCCACTTGGGACTCGACAGGACCCAACTTCTTCCTATTCTGACTCTGAACTCTCATGCTTAGATAAATAAACGGATAACTCCATTCCATCAACAGTGATCTTCAACTCATAGTTTCCCACGTCCTGTTGTTCTTGTTGAATTCTTTCGACAGATTCCACAATGGATTCACTCCAGTTGTCAGTTTCAATAAGCTCAAGGGTTGTGATTTCGCCTATTTCAAGGGGGATCTCTTCAAGATCCCTGCAGAACAACACCGCTAATCTTTTGAGACGTGGGAAGCTTGTACGATAGGCTTCCCACTGTATGATATTTAGCTTCTCAAGTCTCAAGAATTTTAGTTGTCGAAACTGCTGCTCACGTGCATTCCACTGTGTTCCTTCGAAAGCGTTGTCTTTTAGTTTTAGAACCTCCAGATTAAGTAAAGATTGAATGATTGACATATTGCTCCAAGGTAGACGACACTTTACAAGTGTAAGTTTTCTCAATGTTGCAGGGTAGCAAATGTGATTTCTGTGGAAACCTCCCCTTAACTTTAAGGTTTCAAGGTAAGGGAGTAACTCAAAGTGACCTTTCTCACCCGAGGAAAAAGTATATGCAAGCTTCTTGATGCTGGGAAAATATTTCTGGAAAGTATCAACCCCATCTCCATACCTCACTTCTGAAATGGATTGCAAATTTATTGGTTTTTCAATAGTAAGAAGAAATAGCTCAACGTTACTCCACAAATGCCTCAGGTTTACCAAATCTGAAATGTTACTTGGTAAATTCATATGACTATAACTTGTTTTAAGAATAAGGGTTTGAAGGCTCCATAGATTGCATAGTGAGGATGGGAAACCTGATGAATTCCAAATTGCAAGGTACCTTAAGTGAACCAGTAACGCCATCCCTTGCGGTACATATTCATATTTACTCTTTTGTAGATCTAGCACCCTAAGAAGTGAAAAGGAATAGAAATACTCACTCTCAGTATCATCAATCGAGCGTGGGTTCTTATGAAAGTAGAAAAGTGATCGGATGCTTGGGGTGGGTGGATGAACAAGGTTCACAATGGTTATATCTTGATTTGTGAACAAACGACGTTGCTTATATTGTGCAACAACCTCATATGGTATTGGTAGCGGAGTAACCTCATTTGGTGGTCGGCATGCTTTAAAGAATACTCTTTCTTCCTTTGCTTTTTCCTGGCATAGTTTTCTCACAAGATCATGGAGTTTACAAGCTTTGACATCACCATTAAACTTCCTTTCTGCAACAATTACAAGATTTCTGTCAACCAGATCCATCAGGTATGCCTTCGCGGTATCCTCTAAGCTTCGATTTCCAGCTTCTTCAATAAATCCCTCAGCCACCCATAACCGTGTCAACCTCTTTACATTGAACCAATGGTCTTCTGGGAAGCCTCCTAGATAAAGAAAGCACTCTCTCAAGTGATGAGGTAAATGGTGGTAACTTAAAGCTAGTGTTTCCAGGTTTCCTTTCTGGTCACTAACAATGTATGAAGTGACACTGTAAGCAATCTTTTCCCATAAATCTTTTCTCATTTCTTCTTTTGCTAGAATTCCTGCCATGACAACCACTGAAAGAGGCAGTCCCTGACATTTTTTTGCAATTTGCATTCCGGGTTTAATTGACCATTCGGGACAGTCACCGCCATGGAACACCTTCTGTTTCAATAGCTCCCAGCTTTGTTCTTCCTTCAGACAAGGCAAAGAGTGGACGAGCCCATGTGGGTTCGCATACAAAGCAACTTCATTGAGGCGACTTGTGAGCAAAATTCTACTTTTGGTGTTGTCATCGGGGAAAAAGAATTTCAAATCATACCAAGCCTTAATGCTCCAGATATCATCGATAACAATCAAATATCGCTTACCCATTAGGTGCTTGTGCAACTTTCCACGAAGTTGAGAGTAACCGTCTTCTTCAAGGTCTTCTTGAATGCCAATGGATGTTAGAATTTGAACCAACAAATCCCTTTTTTCATATGTTTGAGAAATAGTAACCCATGCACGAACATAGAAATAATGCACTATATAAGGATCATTGCATACTTTGGTAGCAAGGGTAGTCTTACCGAGTCCGCCCATACCAACAATACAGACGACTCCCAGTTTCTTTTTATCTTCAACAAGTTTGTCCCGTATGAGATTAACATCATTATCAAGCCCCACAACTATTTCTTTCATTAATGGCTTCTTCATTCCTAATGGATTTCTGGTGCAAGAAGTTCCAGCAGCAGCAGACTGGGTTTTGAGGCGGTTGCTTCTTGAAGACGAATTCATCTTCATGTCATCAATGTTGATCGCCATGAGTTCCACCTTGATTGACTCGATTGAGCTCATAGCGTTCTCAAGATTCAGGGGGATTTTAAAGGCATAAGATCTTGGGGGAAGTCCTCTGCTTCTGCAGTAAGCATTATTTAGAATCGAATCCATCTCCATGTTATCAATGTTCATTGTCATGATATACTTTCTCATAAAAGTATCCGTAAGTTCTAGGGAGGCTTTAAATATATTAGAATCTGGGGAAATTCCTTTGTTTGTGAAGTGAACAGCAGATACAAATAGATCAATGGTATCTTGTGCTTCTTCTGCTGCATCTTTGAATCTTTTCTTCAGATTTTGAACTTCTTGGAGCTCATGTAGGTGATGTTGATGGATATTTGAAAAGGTTTGGATGATGGAGGCAAGCTCTTGATAGAGCAGTTGGAATTGAGGCCTTTGAGATAAAATTGATGGATCATTGTTGATGAGTGGATCATGGTTGCCATGGATGAGCTGCTTCAAGTTGGCCATGAACATCTGGAGACCTGTGTATGCCGTCTTGATTTAATCTTCCTCTGTTGAAGAACAATAGTATGAAGTTGTTATTGTGTTTGAGCCAAATAAAGCATTGATTGACATTTTTTCCCAAAGAAAGTATTGGTTGACTTTGATTCAATAGCTGGAAGCATATTAAGTCTCTTTGTAGCACAGAGTATAAAATTTTTGTTTGATCATTATATTCTAACAATTCACATTAAATATATTCAACTTGTTATAATAATTATTATTTTCTTTCAGGTTGTATGGAGTTTTGGTTGACTTCAATCAAGTTGTTTGAGTGGCTATGGTGACAGTAGAAATTGCAGATGGTTGTTTGTAAGTATTTCTCATGTAGGCTTAAAAATCATTAAGATTTTGAAAGCATTCTGGATAACTTAGAAAAAGGATGGATTTTATGAATTTAGTATTACTTATTTTTATGTATAAAGATAACCGAGGGTCCAGGGGAAGAGTAATGTGCTGAATTGACATACCTATTTTCTTGAAGAGTTGTCTTAACTTTCTTCCCCTACCAGTTTTAAATTATAAATTTGCTAGGAGAGGAACACTAATATTTTTCGAACATACATATATGAGATGTTATAATAGGGATAAGCTTCTTAATCAAGATTTTGCAGTTCGTTTATGAAGATGATAGAAGTAGAAAAGGAGGACAGTAACAATTAGGACAAAGATGATGAAAAATTACCATTTTACTTCTTTGAAAATGGTCAAGTGACTAACAGATTTTGTAGCCACGATTCATGAATCACGCCACAGCGTGAACCGATAAAACGGGAACCCAACCTGATGAAGTCCCAAATTGCAAACATATTTAATGGTCTAAACTCATGCTCCTATCTTATCTCAACAGTTTAAACAAAGCTAGCAATAGGGCAGTTTCAACTTTAATTTATATGAACATATACATATGATGCGAGAAGCTCGATAATAATTCTAGTCGAGTTCTTGTAGGTTTGAACTCGGCTCGTTACATGATACAAACTCATTTTTAACTTGAACTCAATAAAAGCTTGGTTTGATCGTAACAAACAATAAATCATTTGATAATGAAAACTACAAAAAGGAAATGCAAGTCATATATGATTAAGTCATACTTAGTTAGGGGCCCTTTACTAAATGCTTACCTGGTAAGTGTGGATCGGGTAACTTTCCTCATCCGATGCACATGGCAAGGGCTGAAAATCTTACCCGGTAAGAGCGATGATAGGGATAGAGTCTTACCTGGTAAGTGATGGTGAGGACTCTTACCCGGGTAAGCGTTTACCGGGTAAATTGTTGCATACAATACCATTTTAATATACTACAATCTTATCTGGTAAAATAGATTATAGTGTTGACTCCTACCTGTAAGCGCTTACCAGGTAAGTATTTGGGAAACGGCCCCTTAGTCACCAACATTTCCAAAAAAAACATTTAATTAGAACATATGTGGCGTTTCCTTAAGTCTATCAGACCCAGATAAATACAAGGATAACTCCATTCCATGAACAGTGATCTTCAGGTCATCATTTCCCTCGTCAACTTGTTTTCTTTGAATTACAGATTCCACAATAGATTGCTCCACCTGTCAATTTCAATAAGCACAAGCGTTACAATCTCCCCTATTTCAACGGTGATCTCTTCAAGATTGTAGCAGAACCACAATGCTAATCGTTTGAGACAAGGGAAGCTTGTACTACATGCTTCCCACTGTTTGATATTTAAACCATCAAGTCTCAAAAAATTTAGTTGTTGAAACTGCTGCTCACCTGCATCCCACCAGCTTCCCTCAAAGGCATTGTCTATCGTTTTGAGAACCTCGAGGTTAGGTAACGACTGAATGATTGACGTATCGCCCCAAGATAGACGACACCTTACAAGTGTGAGTTTTTTCAATGTTGTAGGGAACCAAATGTTATTCTGTAAGGTCGGTTGATGTTTAGGGCCCATCAACCTTGTCCGGTAGAACGCCACACTTAACTTCAAGCAAGGTAAGGGAGTAATTCAAAGTGATTTTTGTCTTCCCAGTACTTACAAGTAAGTGCATGCTTCTTGATGCTCGGAAAATATTTATGAAAATTATCTACCCCATCTCCCAACATCACATTCAATATGGATTGCAAATTCATTGGTTTATCTATAGAAGGAAGAGAAAGCATCCTGTTACTCCACACATGCTTCAGATTTGCCAAATCTGATATGTTACTGGGTAAAGACCAAGTTCCAGGATTTGTTTTAACCACGAGGGTTTGAAGGCTCCATAAGTTGCATATCGAGTGTGGGAATCCAGATGAATACCAAATTGCAAGATACCTTAAGTGAACTAGTAATGCTATCCCCAGCGGAAAATCAATCAATTCACAGTTTTGTAGATCTAATACCCAAAGAATCGCAAAGGAACGGAAATACTCTGCAATGTCGTAGATCAAGGATCTGGACTTATGAAAACACAAAAGGGATCGGATGCTTGGGTGGGTGGATGAGCAAAGTTCACAACATAGATATCTTGATTTGTGAACACATGACATTGCTTATATGGGGTAATAATTATAAGGGACACTGATATCACCGGGTCAACCAAACCGGCATAGAAGGAATGTATAGGATCATATTGCAGTCAATCTGTTTTCCTAATATAGCTCCTTAACTCTCTCCTGTAATTACTCAGTTACCTTGTTGTAATGTGCCTATAAATGGCTCGATAATGTAAGCAATACAAATGATTAATTGCAATCCATTCTGAATCTCTATAATAATCTCAATAACTTGAGAACAGAATGGCTGAGACTCTATTTTAAGAAAGAATCTTTCTTCTTTCGCTTTTTCTAGGCATAGTTCCCTCACAAGATCTTGGATTTTTACAAGCTTTGACATCACCATTGAACTTCCTTTCTGCAACAACTACAAGATTTCTGTCTATTGTATCCATAAGGTATGCCTTTGCAACATCCTCCAAGCTTTGATTTCCAGCTTCTTCTATAAATCCCTCAGCCCCCCCAATAACCATATCAACTTTCTTACATTCATCCTGAAGTCTTCCGGGAAGCCTCCTAGATAAAGAAAGCACTCTCTCAAGTGATGAGGTAAATGGTGGTAACTTAAAGCTAGTGTTTCCAGGCATCCTTTCTGGTCGAGCAATAACTCCCAGCTTTGTTTCTCTGGCAAATAAGGTGAGTGGACAAACCCGTGTGGTTTTGCATGCAAAGCAACTTCATTGAGGCGACTTGTGAGCTGAATTCTACTTCCGGTGTTGTCATGGGGAAAGAACATTTTCAAGTCATCCCAAGCCTCAATGCTGCAGATATCATCAATCACAATCAAATATCTTTTACCCGTTAGATGCTTGTGAAACTTTCCTCGAAGTTGATAATCCCTGGTTTCTTCAAGGCCTTCTTGAACACCGATGGATGTCAGAATTTGAATTAAGAAATCCTGTTTTATATATGTTTGAGAAACAGTGGCTCATCCACGGACACGGAAATGATACACAACAAAACAATCATTGAATAATTTGATAGCCATGGTAGTCTTACCAATTCCTCCCATACCAACAATAGAGACGATCCTCAGTTGCTTTGTATCTTCAGCAAGTCTGTCCCGTATGAGCTCAGAGTCACGATCAAGCCCCACAATTTTTTCTTCCAATGGTTTCTTTGTTACTAAATGTTTTCTGGTGCAAGAAGTTCCAGCAGCAGCAGCAGCAGACTGGGTTTTTAGGCTGTCGATTCATGGAGCCAAATCCATCTTCATGTTATCGATGTTGATAGTCATGAGTTCCATCTTGATGGACTCGATTGATCTGGTGACATTCTCAAGAGCCAGGGAGGTTTTAAAGACATCAGAATCTGGGGAAAGTCTTCTGTTTCTGAAGTGAAGAGCAGATAGAAATAGATCAATGATAACTTGTGCTTCTTCTGCTGCTTCTTTGAATCTTTTCCTTGAGATTTCTAACTTATTCGAGCTCATGTAGGTGATGGTGTTGATGGATATTTGAAAGGGCTTGGATGATGGAGCCAAGCTCTTCACAAAGAAGTTGGAATTGAGGCCTTTCTGATAGCACCTATTGGTTGTTGACGAGTGGATTATCGTTGCCGTAAATCACATGCTTCAAGTTTTCCATCAACAACTCCAGACCTGTGTATGTCATCTTGTTTCTTCCTCTCTTCTTTTTTGGTCTCTCAGAAGAAAAGTGATGATAAATGATTAAGGGGCCGTTTGCCTAAACACTTACCCGGTAAGCGTCTAACGGTAAAAATCAACGCTATCGCTTACTTACTTGGTAAGATTTTAGTCTACCAAAACGACATCATATGTAACAACTTACCGAGTAAGCGCTAACCGTGGTAATAGTTGTCGCCATCACTTACCGAGTAAGACTCTAGGTCCTTGCCTTCTCTCTTACCGGGTAAAATTCTTGGTCCTTGCCATATTCATCCGGTGAGGTAATGTGAATTGGTAAGCGGTTACTTGAGTAAGCATTTGGTAAAAGGCCCCTAAGTTTTGTTGATATGAATATAGGTGGTTCGTTAAAAAGTCTTGAAGGGGGGCACTTATTTGAAGGAATCTTTGATTGTTAAAAAGAAAGACATTTATTTTAGAACTTCATTGCCTACCCAAAATATGCTTTTGGAAACAGACAAGCAATGGCTAAAAACCTTCTACATAAGTATCCAACTATATACAATTCTATCCATAGGATGCTCTAATACTGACTAAAAACCCCCCCATAAAACAGCATTCCCTTGTCTTCTTTAATGACCTTCTTCTCATGTCTTCAATTCTCTTAATTCTTGTTCCCATAGAACAGAATTCCCTTGTAGATTTTACTTTGAAAATGCTTATTAAAATCAGTTAACTTTTCAAAACCTTTTCTTTTATGAGAAAATGACTTGTAAATGTTCATATATGGTTTCATCATCCAAACGGAAGTTAGAAGTACCAAGGAAGTTAGCGTGATGTGATGTTATTAACCCTGCATCATGATCGAAACCCCACGACATTTTGATCCATTATTTCTTCATTCCTAGTGAATTTCTGGTGCAGGAGATGTACTTGTAATTGTTCAGTTCGTTGATATGAATCCATATTCTTGTTATTGATGATCACGGTGAATTCCTCCTTGATTGTTCTCAAGATTCAGGGAGCTTCTAAAGACAACCAACCAGGTGAAATGTTATTAATTTATTTCTAAAATGGACACAAGATAGAAAGAGATCGATGAATATATTGTGCCTCTTCTGCTGCATCTTTGAGTCTTCTCTTTCGATCTCCAACTTTTTTTTACCTCAAGAAGGTTTTGATCTTTGTCAATGTAAATGGTTTTGATCATGAGTTGGAATTGAGGCATTTCGTCTAAAATAGTTGATCGGTGGATTATATTTGCAGTAAATCAGCGGCTTCAAGTTGTCCATGAACAACTGCATACCTGCGTACGCCATCTTGTTTCTTTGCTACTGTTTGGTCTTGTAAAATCAAGCAGCTTTCAGCTTTATTCTTTCTCAATATTTGTGATATTTCTCTGTTTTCTTGTTCTTCAAGTGGTATGATTACAGGTTATCTTGAGATTTTGTGAGTGTTTCTCATTCTAGCAAAACGAGCGATCTATGCAAGGACAATTCTTGATCTACTTGCATCAATTCGTATCTGCAAGGACAAAACTTGTGGACAGTTGCAAAGGGAGCACTGAGGAGGATGCAAATGGTATTTGACTAAAATGGAAAGATCAAAGTAGGAAAAGCAGTGTTCACTTTAAAGACGACAACTGAAGACGATATCTTGGAGCACATTTGGGGTGCTGAAACTTGGAAAGAAAATTTACAAAATGATAATGAATGAACACCATTTAGTTAGAACATATGTAGCAAATATCGTTTCCTCATTCTATCATGTTTGACCTCTCTCAATCTCTGACTCCAATCTATCAACGGTCATCTTCAACTCGGGCTGTTTGACAGTTTCTGAATGGTTTAATGCAGAATAATTAAGTTGTCAAAATGATTAAGGTTTCATGGTAAGGGGAAAAAAGAAATCGCATTTGCCATATTATCAAAGAAATCAAAATGACCTCTCGATTGAACAGAAGATCCTTTCAGCTTATTACTATTCCGACTCTGAACCCTCATGATCGGATAAATTAGTGGACAACTCCATTCCATCAACAGTGATCTTCAGCAAAGTGTTTCCCTCATCCCGTTGTTCTTTTTGAATTCTGTTCACAGATTTCATAACAGAGTTGTTCCAGCTGTTAGTTTCAATAAGCTCAAGCGTAGAAATGTCCCCAATTTCATGGGGGACCCCTTCAAGATCATCGCAGTCCCACAACGTTAATCGTCTGAGACATGGGAAGCTTGCACTATGGGCTTCCCACCGTTCGATATTTAAACTCTCAAGTCTCAAGAATTTCAGCTGTCCGAACTGCTGCTCACATGCATCCCACTGTGTTCCTTGAAATGCATTGTCTATTAGTTTGAGAACCTCCAGGTTAGGCAACGCTTGAATGATCGACATATCGCTCCAAGGTAGACCACACCTTACAAGTGCAAGTTTTTTCATCGATGTAGGGAACCAAATGCGATTCAGTAAGCTTTGTTGATGTTTAGGGCCCTTGAGCGCCAAACTTAACTTCAAGTTCTCAAGGTAAGGGAGATATTCAAAGCGACATTCCTCATCCGGTACAAGAGTATATTCAAGCTTCTTGATGTTGGGAAAACATCTCCCAAAACTATCGACTCCATCTTCCAACCTCACACTCGAAATGGATTCCAAATTCATTGGTTTTTTAATAGCAGGAAGAAGAAGTTGCTTGTTACTCCACAAATGCCTCAAGTTTACCAGATCTGATATGTTACCGGGTAAAGAAGCCACACGGACAAAACTCATTTTAACAATGAGTGTTTGGAGACTCCAAAAATTGCATATCGAGGATGGGAAACGAAATGAAATCCAAATTGCAAGGTACCTTAAGTGAACCAATGATTTCAACTCTTCTGCAAAATAGATAATTAGCTTGGACCTTTGTAGATCATGTTAGGACTGAAAAATCAGTRTTAATTGTATTCGTCTTGAAAGATTAATTTTAGTCTATAATTGTAAAGTCAGCGTGTTTGACTTTCTTAGACTAGTTTGACTTTGACTTTGTATTAATATGTTGACCATATAAATATGGTTTAATCTTTGTAATTAGAAGAAGAGAGCTAATTGTAATATTCATTAATAATAGAAGGTTTGACTGAATTGAGAGGATTGACTTTTCCTCTCAATATTCATAAAGTGTTCATAGTGTTCTTGAATGATAAATCCATGAATCTGCCATTGAAGGAAGCTTAATATGAAGATTGATCAGATATTGTGGACACACAATTGGTATCAGAGCTGGAATGCAAGAAATCAGGAAAAGAAGTTGATCAGATAAGTTTTTTTTTAATTTTTGAATTTTTGTGTTCTTCGTGTTTGTTAATTTTTTTTTTCTCTGTTTGATCCGATTTTATCATAAAATCTTGTGTTTTGGTGTTAAAATCATGATCAAAATGCTCGAAATAGCATTGTGAATCTTTGTTATTCACAAACTTTTGCGATTTGATCAATTTTAATCAAGATTTAATCGGATTTTGTGTTTTAAATTTTTTTCGTGTTCCTGATTTTTTTTTTAAAATCAGTGTTTTTGATCCAATTTTTTGTTAAATTTTTTTTGTTTTTGTGTTTTTGATAGTTTTAATCTGTTTCTTTTTAATTTTTTTTTGTTTGATTTTTTTGTTAATCCTTTCATTTCTAAAGCTAAATTTCAAGATCCAATTTGGTTTAGGCCCAATTTTTTTTAAGCCCATGAGTTGACCGGACTAAGAGTCCGCTTACAGCTTCTTCATATTGCTTCTCAATCTTGAGCGGATAAGAGGAATATCCGGTTGGTGTTCATCGCTTCAATCAGTTTCTAGACAAAGGGTAAACCGCACATAGCATCACCGGATTTCTCAAGCGGTATTCATCTTCACCGCACACCATTTGGGCGGTGTTCATATACACCGCACGCTACTTGACCGGATTTCAAGCGGTATTCATCTACACCGGTCATCACTTGACCGGATTAGGGTTCGGATTCGATCAACAGGTAAAGTTTTTATTTTTTTCTAAGTCTAATCCGATCATAGCATCAACGGATTCTTAAATCGTTCATTACATCACTCGTTTTTTGAAAACCCTTGTCCGATTTCATTTTGTCTGTGTTTTAAGAATCTGAAGTCGCTTCGCAAGCAATCCAATTGTCTCATTTGAATCGAACACAACTAACCTTCAAGATCACAGCAATGATGGTTTTACATTTTCGGTTTTGAATTTGGTCAACATCCGGTCTGTGTTTTTGATCTTTGTCTTGAATTCACTGTCTTGGTCTGTGCTGTTAATCTTGATATAAAAACACAAAGACAAGTTTGATTTTGCTTTTGATTATGTGGAGATTAGTTTGATTTTGGATGACTGCAACAGGATAGAAGATTTTAAAGAATCATCATAGATTTACAGTTTACAGTGTGATTTAACTCATGCTTTATGTGATTTAGATCCATCTGTTGAGTGAATAAGAACACTTCTTGAGTATTTTAAGACTTTTATTGATCGGATCAAGAACTCTTGAGCGGACTGTGAGCAACCTGGTGAGCGATTTAGGATGTCTGTTTTAATAGGTTGTGCAATAAGGTAACAGGTTTTGTAAAAGAATCTGAAGTGTGCTGTTTCTTTTGATTTGGGTGCAACCAGACTCCTTTTCAACATATTTGGAAAGGTCATATGCCAAACAGAATGGGTTATATTGTTAATTGGGGAATTTGGTTTTGATTGCTAATCATATTACTCTGGTTTTATTTTAAGGATTTGTTATCAAGGCTCAAATTTCCTCAGTAAGCAGCCTGTTGCAGACCTGTTATCAAGGATTTGAGCAGACTTTGTGACTGTTTTTTGTTTGGAAAGTAGTAAACAGCAGATGGACTATATTCATTTGTTTGTTGAAACAGCAGCAACAATTAACAGTGTGCAGGTTCTTAGCTAGTTCTTTGCAGAAAGCAGATTGATTTAAAACAGTGTAAAAGCTAAAACCGAAACAGGAGCTGTGTTGTGTTGGTTTAAGAAGTTGAGTTAGCTACACAGTAGCCCAACAAGAAGAACAACAGCTAGCATTTGGTTTATCTGTTCTTGTGTTTTGACAGCAACTAAGTAGCAACATCAGGTGTCTTGATTTTTGATCTTTGACAGCAATGTTTTTGACAGAACCAACAGCAAAGCAAAACATGGAGTTTACAAGCTTTCACATCACCCGTAAACGTTCTTTCTGCAACCGTTACAAGATTTCTATCGATTAGATCCAGAAGGTAAGCCTTTGCAGTAACTTCCATGCTTTGATTTGTAACTTCTTCAATGAATCCCTCAGCCACCCACAAAATTATCAATTTCTTTATATTGATCACAAAGTCTTCTGGGAAGCCTCCTATGTACAGAAAGCACTCTCTCAAGTGATGAGGTAAATGGTCGTAACTTAAACTCAGTGTTTCCATGCATCCTTTTTGGTCGCTAACAATGTACGAACCCGCACCACGAGCAATTTTTTGCCACAAATATTTACTCATTGTTTCTTTTGCTAGAACTCCAGCCATGACAACCACTGAAAGAGGTAGTCCCTGGCATTTTTCTGCTATTTGCATTCCGGGTTTAATCAACCATTCAGGACACTTATCGCCATGGAACACCTTCTCCTTCAGTAACTCCCAGCTTTCATCTTTCGTCAAATAAGGCAACGAGTGGACGAACCCGTGCGGTTTTGCATGCAAAGCAACTTTGTTGAGTCGACTTGTGAGCAGAATTCTACTTCCGGTGTTCTCATTGGGAAAAAATAATTTCAAATCATCCCAAGCCTTAATGCTCCAGATATCATCAATCACAATCAGATACCTCTTACCCGTTAGCTGTTTGTGCAACTTTCCTCGAAGTTGAGAGTCACTAGTTTCTTCAAGGTCTTTTTGAACACCAATGGATGTTAGAATTTGAGTTAAGAAATCCCGTTTTATATATGTTTGAGAAACAGTGGCCCATGCACGCACGCGGAAATGATACACAACAAAACGATCATTGAATACTTTGGTAGCTAGGGTAGTCTTACCAAGTCCGCCCATACCAACAATAGAGACGATACCCAATTGCTTTGTATCTTCAGCAAGTTTGTCACGTATGAGCTAGACATCATGCTCAAGCCCCACAACAATATCTTCCATTAATGACTTCTTCCTTCCTGATGGATTTCTGGTGCAGGAAGGTACAATGGCAGCAGCGGCAGACTGGGTGTCGATTCTCGGAGACGAGCATATCTTCATGTTATCGATGTTGAACTTCATGAACTCCACCTTGATAGACTCGATTGACGTCATAACATTCTCAAGATCCAGGGAGGTCTTATAGATATCAGATGTAGGGGAAAGTCCTCTGTTTCTAAAGTGAAGACCAGACAGAAATAGATTAATGGTATCTTGTGCTTCTTCTGCTACGTCTTTAAATCTGATCTTGAGATTTCTAAGTTTTTCGAGCTCATGTGGATGATGATGATGATGATGATGATGTTGATGGATATTGGAAAGGGTCTGAATGATGGAGGCAAGCTCTTGATAGAGCACTTGAAATTGAGGCCTTTGAGATATAATTATGGATGGATTGTCGTTGATGAATGGAATATCATTGCAGTGGATCAGTTGCTTCAAGTTAGCCATGAACATCTGATCAAGACCTGTGTATGCCATCTGGTCGAACCCAAACGATGGTATGATAATGCAGCTGTTGTTAGGTTGGGTTGGGTTGCGGCAAAGAAAGATAGTTGATCACCGGAGTTTGGTGGACTTCATTCAAGTCAGAAGGGTTGTTAATGTAAATAGTTGAAAGTATGAGGACGGGTTGTGTAATTATATTTTCTTATCTTGAAAGAAGCTAATGTTTCAGATTTTTGTATGGCTCTCGTTTTACCTCCCCCTTTTTCCTCTTTGGTTTTTTTAATTATATAATTAATATATTTTTATATCAATTATATATTGTATTATTATATATTGTAAACCAAAATAATTTCATCTGAAGATGTATATGGAACAAAAATTTATCTAAGGGATGTCTAGAAAAAATGTAAGAAAAATCAGGTTGAGAAAACTTTTGTTCCTTCTTGGATTTGAACCTGGGACTTCCAAACACTTTTGACATTTGGAGACAAACTTAAAGCAATCAGACATCACCCTTATGGTTAGTATACTAACATGAAGCAAAACAATCTTTTAAATCATTTACATCTCAAAAAATAATAAGTTTTAACGATCAACAAATACTCCTCATCACATCATTTTGTCCTTATATTTCATCAAGATTGCATCTTCCAGTAACTTTTATCTCGGATGTACATGTTAATATTGATCGTTTGCTATCATCAACATAAAATTATATATATAGGGGTGGATTCAAATAAAAACCATTCAATTTGTAAAAACCGTGAAAACCTCATTCAACCAATCATAATTTTTCATTTTGT